CTGAGCTATGCCCTTGACCTGCTGCGCACTTGCCCCAAGGCCAAGTTCAAACCCCCTAACCCAAGGCTGCCCAGAGCTGCCCTCCCACCTGATCCATGGGGAGGGGCCCTGAGCTGGTCCCTTTCACAGGCTCGCAGGCCGCGTGCCCCCGCCCTGGGCAGGGCTTCTGTCTCTCCTCCTCTGTCTCCAAGAGCACAGGCTTGCAGGGGTCAGCACGTGCCGAACAGCCATCATCATTTTCCAATTCTTTCCAAAAAGTCCTGTCTGTGCCCAGAAGTCCTACTTGGTCCTTTCAGTGCCCCCTCTCCCCACATACATACATTTCTTTTTTCTTTTGTTAATGAGACAAAGTCTCATTCTGTTGCCCAGGCTGGAGTGCAGAGGCATGATCTCAGCTCGCTGCATCCTCTGCCTCCCAGGTTCGAGAGATTCTCCAGCCTCAGCCTCCCAAGTATCTGGGATTACAGGCATATGCCACCATGCCCAGCTAATTTTTTGTATTTTTAGTAGAGACTGGATTTCACTGTGTTAGCCACGATGGTCTTGATCTCCTGACCTCGACACACATTTCTTTATTGAAATTCCAAATTCTCCAAAGCTCAGAAACATAAAGATTTTCAAAACTCAGTGGCAACACTGGACCGGAACGAATGTGCCATGATTTACATCATTTCTTCCAGTTCACCTGAATACTCATATGTTTTGCTCCAAAAATATAAATGGGTCTGATTATGAGAAGCAGCCCCAGATTCCAAAGAGGTGCGACATAATGTGTGATGTTTATATATATATATATATATATATATAAAAGCCAGTGGTTAGAGTTCTAGGCCTGGAGGAGGGTCATGGTCGAGGGGGCTCAGGATACAGAATGTGGCAAAGCAAGGACTGTGGAACAAAGACTCCGCCTATGTGATTTTATCACTTACTGAGCAAAAAGCTCTGTACTGGGTGCTGGTGATTTAGAGATGGAAAGGCCCTAGCGACACCCCCCGCCACCCAGGGAGCCCATGGGCCAGTGAAGGGACCAAGGGGCACAGGAGGGGTGGAGAGCAGAGGTGGGTTCCCTGGCTGTGGAGGTACTGCCCATAAGGGGTACAGGAGACCTCTCCATCCAAGGGGGCCCTCGCCTGGGGAGGTGGTGATCCCAAGCCTGACAGTCCCAAAGCCTTCAGAGGTGAGCCTGGAAACACTTATGGGAGATCCAGGAGGAGGACACCTGCGAATGACTAGAGAAACCTGCCCTCAGCCACTGAGTCTGGTCGACTCACTGAAGACTCGGGCCTGAACTTCCTCCTCTGTAAATGGGGTGCAGGCTCTGGCCCTACCTTCATAGTGCTCCTCAGTCCCCTACAAGCCTTCCCTGCAGGCCACAGGCCTTTGAACAATGGTCTGGCCTCTCTTTTCCTGGGCTGTAAAATGGGATTATTTGTGAAGAGAAGTGAGCTGAGATGGGCAGGACTGGCTCTGACCGTCTCACCCCAGCTCTGTGCCCCCTTCTCTGCTGACCCATAGACTGTGGGGATGCTCCAGGCAGACCCGATCCCACCCTGCTGCCTGCCAGGTGCGCCTACTGGCAAAGCAGGTTTGCGCAGCACCCAGCGGTCAACAGGGGCGGGGCTGGGCACTGGCCAGCCTCGCCAAGACCATCCCTGCCTAGGCCAGCGCCTCGGAGTCCACCGCGATCTCGGCGGGGCGAGGCGGAGCGTGCAGGGTCTGACCCAGAAACCCAGGGCAGCTTTAGAGGAGGGCCACCGGACGCATGGTCCGAGGCCCGGCGTGGACCCGGGTCCCAGCGAGGGCGGAGGGAGCGCAGGGCCGGGCCTGGGCTGGGGCACCCGGGAGGTGGCGCGGAGGAGGCCGCCGGGAACAGCAGTGCAGGGCTGGGGCGGCGCAGGTCTGGCCGGGTGAACCTGGTAGCTTTCGGGGCTGCGGGAGACGAGGGCGTAGCCCCGAAGCCGCGGGCGCGGGTCCATGGGGGGGGGCCTGGGTACCCGCCCCCCCCCCCGGGCCGCGCCGGGTCGCGCGTGGGCGCGGCGGGCGCCGATTGGCTGCCGGGCGCGCGGGCGGGGCGGGCGGCGGCGGCGGCGGCGGCGGCGCGGAGGGGCCGCTCACCCCGCAGCCCGGCCTCGGCCTCTGCCGCTTGTCGCCGCGCCCCGCCCGCGCGCCCGCCCCGCACGTCCCCCGCCGGCGGCCACCATGAGCACAGGCCTGCGGTACAAAAGCAAGCTGGCGACCCCAGGTGAGCCCGGCGCCCGCCCGCGTGCCCGCGCGCGCCTTTGTCCCCGCCGTCCGCGCGCCTCTCACCGTGTCTCTCCGTCTCTCCCCCGCCCTCCGGCTCGGACCCGCTCGGACCCGGACCCGGACTCGACCCCGACCCCGACCCCGCAGAGGACAAGCAGGTACGTGCGCGCCGCCGTTCCCCAGCCGTGAGACCCGGCCGGCTGTCACCCATTGTGGCACCAGCGCCGCGGGCTCCCAGACGCGACCCCGCCCCCGCCGGCCGTCACCGGGCCCTGTCGCGATCACCGATTGTTAGCTGGGCAGTGCCGCCGCGCCTGGGGCTGAAGATGGGAGGAGTGGAGCCCCTGGTCCCCTGACCCGCACAGGAGGGACCTTGCCCCCCTCTCCAGGATGGGGGGATGGGCCCGAGTATCCCCCTCCCCCAGGGCCAGCACCAGCACCTCCTTCTGACCTGGCCTGTAGGTCATGGGCTGGGGGTCCTGGGTGAGGCCACGGTTTTGGCAGGCCACGCTGGGGGAGGGGACTCAGGCTCCAGCAGCCAGCACAGTCCCTGAGCACCCCCACAGTGGCGGGCCTCTGGTCACACCTGCCTCCGCTGCACCTTCATGCCCCTCTCCCTCCCCAAACATAAATTCAAGTATTCTGGTCTGCAGCAGGGCCTCTTCCCCAGATTAGGAACCCCCAAGGCCTGGTCTGAGTCATTCTGTGTGCCCAGAATGGGTCCTGGAACCCAGTGGGTTCAAATAGGGTTGTGGCTTTCCAAAACAGTTGGCCTGGGCCCCGCCCTCCAGGAAAGCAGGACTGGACAGGAGGCTGGCCCAGGTACCCGTGTGAAAACCCAGCCCAGCTCAGGGTTAAACAATGCTGTGAGACCCCTGGAGCGGGGTGGGAGCTGGTAACCAGGTGGGCTGGAGGGTCTGGGGAAGCTTTTTGGTGGCCTCTCTGTCATGAGTTCAGCCATCTTTGGAGGAGAAAAGAGCCCAATCCTGGCACCAGCATGGCATTGGCAGCCCCCATTAGGGATGGAGTTTCTTAGGAGCCATGGATGCTGAGTGGGACTCCAGAGTCCTGGCCCAGGGTGCAGCGGGCAGGGCAGGAGGGCTGGGCAGGGGGTGCTGGGAGCTGGGGAGTCACTGACTGATCCGTGCCAGTCTCCTAGAAGGGACACACCCCACCCAGAAGTATCTGAGGCTCTCTGGGAGGGGCTCCTTGGGGAGCTAGGCTGGGAGCTGCCTCCCATCACAGCAGGTCAGACAAAGCCTGAGATGCAGGGACACATGTGCCAGGCTATTGTTTGAGGGAGATGGAAGGAGCTGAGGCTGGGAGACCCTGGAGGCTTCGCCTCCGCCTGCAGGTGTCCCCAGCTTGACCCAAGGGCACTCTGAGACCCTGGGCTACAGCCCCTGTTTTACAGTGCATTCGGGTTCTCTTGCCCATTGCTACAGGGTGGGGACCCCCTCCTGCTGAGGTGCCCATCCTCTGAGGTCAGCTGGAAGTCCACTGCACCCCATCCCAGGCCTCCAAGCCCAGAGGAAGAAGGCACTGTGCGCCGCCAAGGGAGGGAGCCCCAGAGCAGGAGCCGGGCCAGGTGTTTGGGGCTGCCAGTGGGTCTAGGGGAGCTGGAAGCACAAGGCAGCTTCCCTGCTACCACCGTTGTCATTTAGCCTCAGCCTGTCCAAGCATCATTTTTGCTCTTTGAAAGGGGGCTGTAGAGGCACTGGGGGAGCTCCGTCACCGATCTGTGTCCCCACCTCCTCACAGGCAGCACTGGGGCTGTCTTGGCTCCAGCTGCTGCTCCCAGAGCTGACTCGGGTGATTCTAAGAATGGAAGTGCCTGAGAGGCTCAGGCATCGGGAGGAGGTGGGTGCAGCTGTGTCATATGGCTCGGGAAGCCCTGGGAGTATCTTTTTTTTTTTTTTTTTTTTGAGACGGAGTTTCGCTTTTGCTACCCAGGCTGGAGTGCAATGGCGCGATTTCGGCTCACCGCAATCTCCGCCTCCTGGGTTCAGGCAATTCTCCTGCCTCAGCCTCCCGAACAGCTGGGATTACAGGCACGCACCACCGTGCCCAGCTAACCTGGGAGTATCTTTTGTGACTTGGGGACCAGAGACAGGGAGTGGCAGGTAGAGCCCCTTCCTGGAGGCTCCCCTAGGGAATCTACAGGCCCTGACTGGGCCCCAGTGGGTGGCAGGGCAGGCAGGTTGAACTCTGAGAGTGAGATTCTTGCCCTCCTGACCTGGGCCTCCCCAGAGGCTGTGCCTTACCAATGGGGAAACTGAGGCAGGCGGTCTGAGAGCCACACACTGTTAAACATCTCCTAGCCTGAGGCCTAGGGGCAGGGCTGTCTATCTTCCTGGAGATGCCCTGAGCCTGAGATGCCAGCCTGTCTGGGTGGGTGCTGGGCTTCAAGGTGTGGACCCTCAGGTGGAAGCTGGGTGGGACTCAGCCCAGAGGCTTCCTGCAGGTCAGGGCCACGGAGGATTGGGGCCAGTGAGAAGGCATTCTGGCAGCAAGGACTGAGGGATGCGCTGGGATAGCTGGGGGGCCTGTAGCCAGCCCCTTTCCCTGGGATGAAAGGCTCTCCTGTTCCCAGCTGTGGGCCTACCCCTCCTCCCCAGGTGCCAGCGGCTTCCAGGCCCACAGCCAGACAGGGCCTGGATGAGGAATGGAGGAGGTCCCTCAGCCAAGAGAGCCTAAGGGAGAACTGATGGGGGGTAGCAGGTTGGGGTTTGGGGCCTCCAGCTTCTAATATTCTAATATACAGGGGCTTGGCCTCTCCAGTCCTACCCTCGAACCTTTCCAAGCCTCATGTCTTCCATTGTTGGGCTGGCCTGTTAGGATTCTACTGGGGTCCTGGAGGTGGGGAAGTGGGTGGCCCACAGAGGAGGGCTCAGGGGACCCCCACAGTCCCTGGAGTGGCCACACAGGAGGGAGGCCCAGCTGGCAGGAGCTCCCAGTCCCTCTAATCCTGTGGGTCAGAGCTGGTGAGGAAGCTCAGAGGGCAAGGGAGTGTCCACTGAAGCAAGTGGGAGATGGGCGCCATCCCACCCCCATCCATCTCTGAGGGCAGGTCCACTTGAGGGCTGCAGGGTGTGGCATGGGTGGCCGCCTTTTTTCAGCAGGCTGGTGGGGGTTTCCCTTCTGGCAGCCTGCATCCTTTCCTCCCCTTCCAACCACCTTAAGCCTTCTGGTGGGGAGGGGGTGGGCCAGGCTGGACCTCACAAGAGAGGTGGGTTCTGCCCTCCTCCGGTTCCCTGAATGTCTTGGGGCACCACATTGGGAAGAGTCCCCCAAACACACATGCACACACCCACCCACATCCGCGCGCACACGCACATATCCAGTGCACACACGCGTGCACACACGCACGCATACACGTACACGAACCCATAGGGAGGTACACGCACAAACGCGCGCACTCACAATCACGCACGCACCGAAGAGGTCAGCCTCAAGCAGGGCTGGGGAGGTGAGGGGTGCAGGGCGCGGCGTGTCAGTGGGCAACTGGGGCGTCGTGACGCCGCCGGGAGGTTTTCGAGCTAGTTTGCGAGAAGACTGCGGGCGCTGAACGGGGCGGGTTCCCGCGCGGTTGCGCGTGGGTCCCGGGAGCGGACTCCGGCGCCCTCTGGCGGGCGGAAGCCGCGCAGCACCTCTGGGGGGCGGGACGCGCGGCCGCCACCTACTCCCCGCCCCGACCCGCGTGCAGGACCCGGTCGTCCCCTCCTACTGTCCCGGAGCCCGGACTGAGGCCTCCGGGGCGCGGCGGGGCTCCCGGTCCACGAGAGCCACTGCCCGTCCGCGCCTCGGCTCAGCCCTGCCCTCCGCAGCCGCTTTCGGGTGGCTCCGCCCGCGGCCCAATTTCCAGGCGACCGTTTCCCGGAGACGGCGGGCGGGGCCGTCTCTGCCGCCCCCCGCCGCGCGTTCCGCGGGCGCCCGCGACGCCCCGCCTCTGGCTTGGGTGCGGGAGCGGGGCCTGGCCGGGCTGCGACGCCGCCACAGCTCGGGGCCAGTCCACCAAGTCAGGGGGATGGCTCGGGCGGCCGCTGGGGTCGACGGCCCCCCCGGTGGGCGACGTGCCCTGTGCAGGCCTCACGTCCCGCGTCCACAAAACGGGGAGGAGAACGCAGCCTAAAGCAGAGCCGAGCCAAGGTACCTCGCCGTCGCCGGGCTCTGGCGGGCTGACCAGGCCTGGGGTGCGAGCGCGGGCCCACGGGGTCGCCGCGATGGACTCGCTGGCAGCGCCCCAGGATCGCCTGGTGGAGCAGCTGCTGTCACCGCGGACCCAGGCCCAGAGGCGGCTCAAGGTGCGTGTGTGGAGAGGGCGGAACGTGGGTCTGTGACCCCGTGGGCTCCGGGACGCGGCAGGGGCCGGCAAGGGCTCCCCGTCCACGCGCGCCACTGCCTGCTAGAGCCTTGGCTCAGCCCTGCCCTCCGCAGAGGCCTCAGGGGTCCACGGCCCCAGGGTGGGCGACGTAGCCTGTCCAGGGTCCCCAAAACGGGGCAGAGAATGCGGCCGTGGGACCCCTCCAGGGGCCCCAAGGGTCTGCGGGGGCTGGGCGCGCGGGCTCGGCGCCGCCGTCTATAAATAGGCGCTGCTCAGCCGCCGCCCCCGCCGCCGCCTTCGCGGCTGGATCCGGGCCAGGCGGGGCCTCCCGCCCCTTGGCACTCTCCGGAGGGTGAGTGTCAAGGCCCTGAGCTTCTCCAGCTTGTGGAGGGCCTTGAGTGTGTCCCAGGGGTCCCCAGCCTGCTGCCCTCTGAGCAAGGAGGGAGGACACCGCCTGTGCCTGTGGCAGCGACATCTCCCCCAGGACAAACAGTCTGCATCCCCGCACAGCCCTCCCTGAGGTTGGGGCAGGGGTGTTTTCTCTTGCCACCCCCTCGCCTGTCTTCTTACCTCCAGGACTTTGCCTACGGGCCCTCCCCTCATTTTTGCCAACAAAATGCCCCTCCCTGGGAATTGTACCTCTGCTGTCTCTTCATCCTGCATTTGGTAAGAGACAGGGTATTGGGCTTCCTGGAGAAAACTTTGTGTCCCTAACCTGCCCTACCCTGCTGCCCCCAGGACATTGACAAGCAGTACGTGGGCTTCGCCACACTGCCCAACCAGGTGCACCGAAAGTCGGTGAAGAAGGGGTTTGACTTCACGCTCATGGTGGCTGGTGAGTGGGCCGGACTCCTCAGGGGAGTGGCTGGGGTCCCTAGCCAGCCAAGCTCTGTCGCTGGAACCCCAGACCTAACCCAACTCCTTCTCTGTACCTGTGTGCAGGTGAGTCGGGCCTGGGGAAGTCCACACTGGTCCACAGCCTCTTCCTGACCGACTTGTACAAGGACCGGAAACTGCTCAGTGCAGAGGGTAAGTGGCCTCCAGGAGGTCCTGGCACTGATCCCCAGCCCCCTGCCATGGAACCCCTCCAAGGGCTCCCCCTTCGAGGTCCAGCTCCCACTGTTCTGTTTCACAGTGTGGGTGCCCCGAGGGTAGGGCTGAGGCACCAAGATGGACGAGGGCAAGGGTCCTGGCTGCCAAAGGTGAAGGGCTGAGGGTTGGAAAGGCCCCTCCAGTGGCCCCTTCCCCATAGAGCGCATCAGCCAGACGGTGGAGATTCTAAAACACACAGTGGACATTGAAGAGAAAGGAGTCAAGCTGAAGCTCACGATCGTGGACACGCCGGGATTCGGGGACGCCGTCAACAATACCGAGTGGTGAGCGAGGCCTGCTGAGAAAGGCCCTGCCTAGGCAGCCACAACACTCCAGGCCTGGCCTCACGCTCCTCCTTGCCCACAGCTGGAAGCCCATCACCGACTATGTGGACCAGCAGTTTGAGCAGTACTTCCGCGACGAGAGTGGCCTCAACCGAAAGAACATCCAAGACAACCGAGTGCACTGCTGCCTGTACTTCATCTCCCCCTTCGGGCATGGGTGCGTGGCTGTCCTGGGGCCAGACGTGGGAGTGCACCCCCTACGATATGTCCCCCTGGCTGTGCCCATGCCCACCCCTGGCTGGTCTCTGCAGGCTGCGGCCGGTGGATGTGGGTTTCATGAAGGCATTGCATGAGAAGGTCAACATCGTCCCTCTCATCGCCAAAGCTGACTGTCTCGTCCCCAGTGAGATCCGGAAGCTGAAGGAACGGGTGAGCCTGCTGCCACACAGGGGCCTGGCCATGACCCTGGGGCGGAGAGTACCAGGGGGACTTGGCCAGCCTCAAATCTGACAGCCATTACCCCGTCACAGATCCGGGAGGAGATTGACAAGTTCGGGATCCATGTATACCAGTTCCCTGAGTGTGACTCAGATGAGGATGAGGACTTCAAGCAGCAGGACCGGGAACTGAAGGTGAACATGCAGACTGCTGGGGGAAGGGGGACGGAGGTGGTGAGGGGCAGGACCAGAGGACCTGTCTCCTTCACACCCGGCCTACTGGAGGAGGGCCAGGTCAGCCTGGTTGGGGCAAGAATCATTTGTCCTACGAGTATAGGACCTGTACTACATCCAGGGCTACAGGGTAAAGGTCATCATGTCTTTGCCTGATTGGGGTGGGTCATGTGGGCCCCACGTGGTGCTTGGCAGGTATGGAGCACTTGCTCAAATCCTGAAGTGCAGCAGTGGGCCAGGACCCCAGCCCTGACCATCTTCTCATGGGTCACCACCAGAGGAAGGGCCTGGTCTAGTGGCACACCCTGGCTCCCAGATTTCTGAGCTCCAGGGTTGGTGGCTTTGAGTGCCCCAGCATCTAGAGTGGTGGTGATAATGGAGACCATGCCAGGGGCAGGTGGCCACCAGGGCAAGGACATCAGCATGGGGAGACATAGCCTCAGCCCTGGGGAGGGAAGGGGCAGCTGGAGCTGATGATCTTGATGAGGGAGGTACCGAACATGCCTGGTTGGGCCATAGTCTGGTAAGGCCCTGGAATGTGAGCCGCATGGGCTCTGGCTCCAGCTAGATCAGCAGAGGCCAGAAAGGGGCAATGCCAGGATCTCTTTGAAGAGAGGTCGTTGATGGTGATGCTGGAGGGGTGCCCCAGGAGCTGAGGGCCCATGCCCCTTTCCCATCACTCACCCTGCAATTACGCTGACCTGGTGTGAGCCCTTTCCCCTCCTCCCTTCAGGAGAGTGCTCCCTTCGCTGTTATAGGCAGCAACACGGTGGTGGAGGCCAAGGGGCAGCGGGTCCGGGGCCGACTGTACCCTTGGGGGATCGTGGAGGGTGAGTGGAGTCTTGGGATACCAGGTCTGGGGTGGGAAGGCTGTCCTAGGCCGGCACCCGCCCACTGCCCACTCCCACCCTGCAGTGGAGAACCAGGCGCACTGCGACTTTGTGAAGCTGCGCAACATGCTCATCCGCACGCATATGCACGACCTCAAGGACGTGACGTGCGACGTGCACTACGAGAACTACCGCGCGCACTGCATCCAGCAGATGACCAGGTACGCGCCACCGCCGCGAGCCAGACCCCGCCCCGAGCAGGCCCAGCCCCTCTGGCCCCGCCCATGTCTTCCTAACTGAGAGCAGGTCCTGCCAGCCCACTCAGACTTGAACCTCGCTACATCCCCCAGATCGGCCTCCCTAGAGCCAGTCAAAGGCCGTGAGGGCTCGGGAGGGCAGGGTCTCAGCAGTGGCCGGGATGGGCCAGGCATAGCCAGCCCACGTTGAGCCTCCCAGCAGCGTCGCCCCGCCCATCCCTCCCCCGCAGCAAACTGACCCAGGACAGCCGCATGGAGAGCCCCATCCCGATCCTGCCGCTGCCCACCCCGGATGCAGAGACCGAGAAGCTCATCAGGATGAAGGATGAGGAGGTGTGTGGGGCGGCGGGGGCGGGCGGCAGGGATGCACCTCTGCGGTGCTGCTCACCCGCCCTGTTGTCTCCGCCCACAGCTGAGGCGCATGCAGGAGATGCTGCAGAGGATGAAGCAGCAGATGCAGGACCAGTGAGACTCGCCGCGGACACACCGTCCGTCTCCGGGACGCCCTCCCACCCCTGGACCCTAGACCGGCCTGTTCCCGACCCGGAGACGTGGGGCCACAGCCCCCAGCTGACCCTAATTTATTTTCAGCACCACCCCCTCCCAGGCCATTCGTATCTGCTTCCAAGGGGCCTGGACCGTAGCCCTCTCCCAGCTGGCCCTCTCTGGCCTTGGGGGGTCTGGAGCGAAGTTGGGCAGGACTTCAGAGATCCGCCTCTCTTGCTCTTCCCTCGTCTCGTGAAGTCACAGCGCCCAAACTGCAGGCCCTGCTCTGGCAGGCAGGCAAACCGAGGCAGAAGAGGGAAACTGATTCCCAGGGTCCAGGGTCTGCTCTCTGCCCCAGAGCTGCAGAACAGACTTGGAAGCCCTCCTTTGCCAGCTCCCGCGGGTCTCCCAGCAAGTGCTGAGATCCCATTTTCCGTCAAGGCGGGCAGGGTCTATTAGCCTCGGATCCCAAGGTTGGGCTGAATCAAATGGGAGCCCTCCAGACATAAAGAGGTCAGAGGCTGCGAGAAGGGCGGGCGTGACCGCCTACACCCTTTCTCTGCAGCCGGGCCCTACCTGGCGGGCCTCAGGGGCACTGGGCTGGGAGCCACCTCCTGGCAACTCTCGGTGCCGTCCCCTGCCCTCGCCCGAGGCCTCTTCTCCCCAGCACCACAGTCGTGTGCCGGGATCCCGAGCCTCGGCCTCCCCGTCTTCCCACCCGCATGATCCCTTCCCGCCATACGATGCTCCGTTTTGTTCCGTTGTGAATGCCGCATCCTGTCCTGGTGACAGGAGAACAATATTGGTGAACGTCGCAGTAGGTGTCCGAGTGCTCCGTGTGCCCCTGAAAGCGGGTGGGAGCGGAAACCCGGGCGGCCTTGGCCTCCTACGATAGCGCGCTATCTGCCGCTGCCGCGCGCGTACGCGCAGCCTCTGGGCTATTTCTGGTCCGGCCGCAGCACTGTGGTGGGTGCGGGCGTGCCGGGACCCGGCGGGGGCGGGGCGGCCATATGGGTCGGCTCTCCCGCCTACGCCTCCCGCTCCAGAGCAAGCCGGGCCGCCGTCCTCTCGCCATGGGCTCCGGTGAGTCTGGAGTCCGGTTGGGCCCTCGGCTGCTCCCTAGGCCGATCCGGGTTGAGAGGCTCTCTGATCCTTTGGCTGCAGCAGGGAGAGACTTGGGTCAGACTTAGAGGGGATTTCCAGCCAGCGTACGGGGTGGTCAGGGTGGAGAGGCTGGCGGGCTACCGGGACGCCGGGCATCAGGGGGCTCGATGGAGCCGGCCGGCGCTCTGGGCGCCCCGCCGACCGCCCGGTTCACTGCGGCCTTCCGTTGCAGGGCCGCGCGGGGCGCTGAGCTTACTGCTCTTGCTGCTGGCGCCGCCGAGCCGCCCGGCCGCAGGTTGCCCCGCGCCCTGTAGCTGCGCGGGGACGCTAGTGGACTGCGGGCGCCGCGGGCTGACTTGGGCCTCGCTGCCGACTGCCTTCCCTGTCGACACAACCGAGCTGGTGCTGACCGGCAACAATCTGACGGCGCTGCCGCCGGGGCTGCTGGACGCGCTGCCCGCGCTGCGCGCCGCACACCTGGGCGCCAACCCCTGGCGCTGCGACTGCCACCTGGTTCCGCTGCGCGCCTGGCTGGCCGGCCGCCCCGAGCGTGCCCCCTACCGCGACCTGCGTTGCGTGGCGCCCCCAGCTCTGCGCGGCCGCCTGCTGCCCTACCTGGCAGAAGACGAGCTGCGTGCCGCTTGCGCTCCCGGCTCGCTCTGCTGGGGGGCGCTGGCGGCGCAGCTCGCGCTGCTGGGCCTGGGGCTGCTGCACGCGCTGCTGCTGCTGCTGCTCCTGTGCCGTCTGCGGAGGCTGCGCATCCGCGCCCGCGCCGCACCCCGGCTATCGCTGACCGCCCCGCTGGTGGACGAGTCGGCCGGAACCGGCGCGTCCTGAGGAGAGACCCGGCGCTGAGCAACGCAGGCCTGCAAACTCGACAGGACCCTGCCCAAGACGCCCTCACGCCAACCTGGACCCGCCTCGGCCTCCTCCGCTGCCCAATCTCTCAGACTCGCCCCACCTGCAGGCCCAGACCCACGTGGGGCAGAACTCCTGCCCATTTTACCCCGATGGAGGCGAACCCTCCAGCCTTGGGAGGACCGTGGGGCACAAGGCGGTCCAGACCCTGGTCTTTCCTCCAAACTCTGGTGCTGAATAAATCCTTCTGATCTGGCCTTCTCTGTCCGACTGACCTGGAAATTCCCCTTGCCAAACTCAGGAAAAGGCCTTCAAGGGGACACAAACACATCCTCATAGGCCCCTTCTCAGGTCAAGGGCAGACAGTCGTCAGTGGGTGAACTTTCCCCTTCCAGACACACTCCCAAGAGGCCACGTGGGAAGGCATGAGAGACATGCTAGGTGACAACGCTTGGGGGACAGCGAGGACGCTGTGGGGGCAGCGAGGACGCTATGGGGATGTCCACACAAAAACCATGCAGCAAAGCCTTTTGCTACACGTGCGCGCGCGCGCGCGCACGCACACGCACACAGGCACCCATCCCTTTAAACCACAGGCTTGGTGTGCTTGCCCAGACACACCTGTGTCAGAGACCTAGGACCTACAGCCCCCAACACACATCAGCCACCCCACATTAACCCAAGGCATCACCAGCCAGCCAGGACGACTTGGGAGGCCAAGTGGAGGTGGACAGTGACCACAGGGCAAAGGCCTTCGGTGGATACCATCCGACGTGAAGAGCCATGGGGCCCGCTGTGTCCACACACACACACAGGGGACACATATCTGTGCACCACCACCCCTCTTCCTACACACCCATCCCTGGGACTCTAGGAGATGAGACCCCTCCTTCCAAACCAGGCCCTCCCTGAAGACCCAGAGATGGCCCAGGAGTCCCCATGCCCGAGTGACCCATTGCTTAGATCCACGAAAAAGAAAAGGAGCTTTGTATCTGAGGAATATGACTCCCTTTAGTCATCAGGCCCAGAGAGGCACTGGAATGAGACAGCAGTCACATCTCACTCCCACTTGAGCTAAAGACCTCGTGAAGCCACTTGCTCTGTGGGTTCCACGCTGACGCCAGTCGACATAAAAAGCCACATGCTGGACCCCGTAACTCTTACCCTGTCGTGCAACACTGTCTAGCCCATCACCAAGGTTCTCTCTGGAAAGCAGTCAGAATTCCTGCTGGCATCATGTCAGCCCACTCCCTGTCCCCTTCAGTCTTGAAACACTTCCCGGTAATAAGGCGGAATGGAGCACTCCCAGGACACCTTGGCGTCCTGGGAGCTCTCTCAGCCTTGACCCAGACAACCTCGCTATATGGATTGTGGTTCCGTTTCTTTCTTTAGGTTGACATCCGCATTAGGGGGGCGGTGTTGCTGGGCTGAGGGGGCTGGTTCAGGTTGGGCGTTGCACCGAGGGTGGGAGAAGGGGCCTTCCTACATCAGCAGCGGACAAGGCAGAGGAGCAGGTGTCTGAACTCAGGCCCGGCCCGCTTCTGCTGTGGCTCACGGCATCCACCCCACCTGGCAGACCCAGGAGGAGCTGGTGACAGGGTGCCCAGCTGGCCACAGTACTTATCACGTGGGGCTGCCCTGTATAGGCCCCAGTCCTCACAGACACCCTGCATGGACTGGGGGACTGAGGTCAGGGACACTGGTGAAAATCTTCAGGCAGGCATCTTCACCCAGCTGCTTATCCCACACACAACCTCTGGGGGAGGGGACAGTGACCAGGCACAGCCCCAGTTGGCTCTTTGCCACTCGCTGCAGGCTCAGCTCCCACAAGCTCGAGTCCCACCTCCAGCTCCTGCCACTCTGAAGGGCCCAGCACATGACCAGCTCTGGGTTGTGGCCCACACTCCACGGCAGTGGCCTGGCTGCTTGTTGTCACTTTATTCACTTCTGGTTTCTGGCTGGAAGGCATCACAAAGACAAAGGGTGCAGGGGAGCCAATCCTGCCAGGGACTGAAGAAACAGACCCTGGGGAAACCAGAGACCACGGGGGCACTTCAGGGGGACCCCAGTTAGCTCAACGCACCCTCCTCCCCATAGCCAATCACTAACCAGTGTTCTCTCTGGAAACCAGTCATAATTTCTGACCCGGTCAAAGCAGGGTCATCTCACAGAGCCCAGACACCCCACAGGCAGCTAAAGAGTGCCTGGTGAAATGCAAGTCTGATCGTGTCTGTGTCCCCAAGCACTCTCGTGTCCCCTGGTGCTCTCTGGACAAGCCCCCAGCAGCCTCTGCAATGCGCACCCCCTGCCCTTCTCTCCCGCGCTGGCTGGCTTCCGCAGCCTGGCCACACTGGTCCTCATGTCCATCCACCTGACCCGGCTCTGGTAGGGCCTTTGCTGGAACCGTTCCTCCACTCGAACCCCTCCTGTTAAAGCCTGTTCGGTGCTGGTTGCCGGTTCGGCCACAGACACCAGAACCCCCACCAGCCCCGGCCCAGCAGCTGGTCCGAGTAGCCAGGATTGCGCAGTCTGGGCTCAGGGTTCGGGCTCGAGGCCTGGCAGTCCCGGGCGACAACGGCAGGTCCAGATGGGGACTCCGGCTCCGACTGTCCCAGCCCAGAGGCTCTAAGGTGGTCCTGTCAGTCTCATCCCCGGGGGCGCCACTGCTTGCCCCGGACGGTGCCTTAGACCCAGGTCCTGTGGGCTCTGGCCTCCGACGCACCGGCGCGGAGCCCGGACCTCAGTCAGCACGGACTCAGCAAGGGCCTGTGGGATTCTCCGAAGTCCTGCGATATCCAGGCGAGGGAGTGTCGCCTGTAAGTTCCGGCAGGGAGCACACAGGTGCAAGCCCGGACAAAAGGGAAACCCTCCTCAGGGTCTCCGCGGAGGGACTGGGCACGCCTCCTTCTGAATGACGCAGGGGGCGGGGCGCGCGGCGGGGAGGGAGGGGCTGGCGGGCGAACTGTCGTAAAAGGGGCGGGGACGTGCCGCGCCTGTGACTGTCGTAAAAGGGGCGGGGCGTGCCGCGCTCGGGATGAAGTTGGGGGCGTGCGTCGCTGAAGCAGGCGGCTAGCGGGCGCCCGGGTTATGGACCGCTACGCGGGCTCCTTGGAGGAGGTGGCGGACGGTACGCGGCAGCAAGAGCGACACTACCAGCTGCTGTCGGCGCTGCAGAGCCTGGTGAAGGAGTTGCCCAGGTACGCGGGCGGGGCGGGCGGCGGCCTGCGAAGCCGGCCCCGGCTCCGCAGACGCTCACCGCGCACCCCCTGCCCGCAGCTCCTTCCAGCAGCGCCTGTCCTACACCACGCTCAGCGACCTGGCCCTGGCGCTTCTCGACGGCACCGTGTTCGAAATCGTGCAGGGGCTACTGGAGATCCAGCACCTCACCGAAAAGAGCCTGTACAACCAGCGCCTACGTCTACAGAACGAGCACCGAGGTGGGCGGGGGCGGCGGGACGAGGCGCCTCCTCCTCCGGGTCGGCAGGTCCCGGCCGCTCTTGGTATCTGTGCAGATCGGCTCCTTCCCTGGGAGTGTTCGGAAGGGGTTTCTTAGATTGACAGAATCAAGGGCGCGGAGACTGAGCGCCTTTTTGGTGACCGGCGGGTCCAAACGGTTTTGTTTTCAGTTGCGCAGCCCCCTTAGCAGAAACTGCCTGCTCGGGCTGTCCTGTGCCCCACCCCTTCCAAGCAGGATGGCCCTAGGCCTCGATGCTTGGTTGGTCTGGCGCGGACTGCATTGCCCCTCAGTAGGTGAAGGTCTGTTGACAGCTGTGCAGCGCTCTTTGGGGTCCGCTCCCTCTCACGTCTCGTAGGGCCTCATACCAGTTGCACATCAGATTCCTAAGCACTGTCCCCTGTGACACCCTCGCAAACCCGAAGAATTTCCCACTTGAGCCGCATGCTTGGTGGGCTTAGGAGCCCTTTCCTGCAAATTACACAGGCCGGGTCCCCCTGCACCATCACATTTCCACCTTTGCTGTTATATTTTCCCCAAACTTCTTATTTTAAAAGTTCAAACATTTAGAAAAGCTGAAAAGATAGTGTAGTGCATACACTTGTGCTCTCCACCAGAAATTCAGTAGTTAACGTTTTGCCATAGTTCTTGATATCCCTAAATACACGTGACAGCGTAGCAGTTCACCAAGAGTCTTCAGCTTGCCTGGAGACCAGGATTATCAACCCGGGAATGTTGACATTTGTGGCTGGGTAAGTCTTTATGGTCAGATGCTGTCTTGTGCTTTGCAGGATGGCAGGGGTACCCTCCCTAGTCCTGAAAACCAAGAATGCCTCCGGACAACCTGGGGGGTTAACCTTGGCCTTGGATTGGGAGCAAGTTCTCTAAAACAAGAACAGTCTCCTACACACCCGCAGAGGGTAGCCCTCTGAGAAATTAACCGTGTGGGTGTCTCCAGAGGTGTGCGCAGCCACATCTTGGTACCTAACTTGTCGCAGAATGTTGCTTTCTATGTAAGGATCCAGTCCAAGTTCATGCTGCAGTTGGTTGCTGGGGTCTCTCTGCTTCTGGAACAGTCCCCACCTTTATTGTGGCATTGCCTGTCTGTAGAGTCCAGGGCATTTTACTTCTAGAATGCCCTGCTCTGGATCTGTCAGATTGCTTCTTCGTGCATTTAACCTGCTTCTCCACTCTCTGGGTTTCCTGTAAACTGGACTGCTGGTCAAGCCTGATTTAAGGCAGGTTTAATGTGGCAAAAATTCCTCCTGGCGGTGCCCTTCCCCAGAGGGCAGGCATGTCCATCTGCTCCAGGATCAAGAATGGATGTTGGATTTTGGCAGACCCTTTTTTGGCAGCTCTTGAGATGATCACATGGTGAATCATTTTCTGTTATTATGTGAATTACAGTCACTTGAATTCCGTCCTGCTTGGTCATGCTGTACTATCCTTTTTATGTGCGCAGATTTGATCTGCTAAAATCTTGTTAAGAATATTTTTGTCTATATTCATGACAAACTTTGGGCTGTAGTTTTTATGGAATACTGTCTGGTTTAGGTACATGAGGAGGTTGGAAGTGTGCTCTCCTCTTGAGTTCTCCAGAAGAATTTGTGCAGAATTGGTGTTACTTCTTCCCCTAAATGTCTGGGTGATAGTGTTTTTAAATTTTTTCATTGAGCTGTAAAATGCGTAGTTTACCAATCTGAAGTGCATGGCCCATTATTTGTTAATGCTCAGACTGTGCCATGTGTGGCCAGTGGGGGCGCTCCAGGCTCCCTTAGGTGCCTCCCATCATTCCTTGAGCACTTCCCTGCTTTCTGGTTCAGGACCATGTTTGGCTCATCTTTTCTCGTGTTCTCTGTCTCAGCACTAGAATCGGTCATTTTCCCACAGAGCTCTGGTTCCTTCTAGCAGGAGGAGGAGTTTCAGTAACTCTCTGGGCCCAGTGCGTTTGTGCTTCAGAAGGGCCAGGCTCTGGTTCCCCCAGCAGCAGGCGTGTCTGCATTGACTGTCTGCTTCTCCTGCTGATTCAGCAGGGCTGACTGGTTGCTCCTCCTCCTTTGTGTTCCCTGGTCATGTCTGAGGTCACGTCTAAGCCCAGGCAGCCAGCGTGGCTCTCTTCTTGCCTGTTGGTTGCCTACCTAGTGGAATCTGGCAGTGGACCTGGCACTTGTAGCAGTCAGTAGAGTGAAGGAGATGACATTTCGCTGCTTCCCTGTGTTTCGAAGATGTCTCGGGGCTGGGGGAGGGGGCGTCTTGGTTGGAAACATATTTCTTTCTTTCTTTCTTTCTTTCTTTTTTTTCAAGACGGCGTTTCACCATGTTGGTCAGGCTGGTCTTGAACTCCCAACCTCAGGTGATCCGCCTGCCTTGGCCTGCAAAGTGCTTGGATTACAGGTGTGAGCCACCACGCTCAGCCAGAAACATATTTCATGTGATAAATGCCATCGTTGAGGTGTGAACAGAACGCCAAGAAACAGGAGATTGGGGAAGGCTGTAGGCACAGCAGGAGCCAGGCTACCTGCAGGGCAGCCTCAGGGGCCTCCGGAGAAGAGCTGCAGCAAGCATCAGGGCTCTTCCCAGGAACAGTGTTGGGTTTCGCGTGTTCTTGTGGCCAGGGACCCCTCCTTCCTGGGGAGCTGTAGCCATTTGGCGCTTACTGGTCACTGTTGCCAGCTGCGGGTGCTGTAGTGTAGCCATTTGGCACTTACTGGTCACTGGTGCCAGCTGCGGGGTGCTGTAGTGTAGCCATTTGGCACTTACTGGTCACTGGTGCCAGCTGCGGGGTGCTGTAGTGTAGCCATTTGGCGCTTACTGGTCACTGGTGCCAGCTGCGGGGTGCTGTAGTGTAGCCATTTGGCGCTTACTGGTCACTGGTGCCAGCTGCGGGTGCTGTAGTGTAGCCATTTGGCGCTTACTGGTCACTGTTGCCAGCTGCGGGTGCTGTAGTGTAGCCATTTGGCGCTTACTGGTCTCTGGTGCCAGCTGCGGGTGCTGTAGTGTAGCCATTTGGCGCTTACTGGTCACTGTTGCCAGCTGCGGGTGCTGTAGTGTAGCCATTTGGCGCTTACTGGTCTCTGGTGCCAGCTGCGGGTGCTGTAGTGTAGCCATTTGGCGCTTACTGGTCACTGGTGCCAGCTGCGGGTGCTGTAGTGTAGCCATTTGGCGCTTACTGGTCACTGTTGCCAGCTGCGGGTGCTGTAGTGTAGCCATTTGGCGCTTACTGGTCACTGGTGCCAGCTGCGGGTGCTGTAGTGTAGCCATTTGGCGCTTACTGGTCACTGTTGCCAGCTGCGGGTGCTGTAGTGTAGCCATTTGGCGCTTACTGGTCTCTGGTGCCAGCTGCGGGTGCTGTAGTGTAGCCATTTGGCGCTTACTGGTCACTGTTGCCAGCTGCGGGTGCTGTAGTGTAGCCATTTGGCGCTTACTGGTCACTGGTGCCAGCTGCGGGGTGCTGTAGTGTAGCCATTTGGCGCTTACTGGTCACTGGTGCCAGCTGCGGGTGCTTCGTGTTCCCTTTCACTATGGTGGTTTTGTTGTGTCCCGTGATCGCTTCCTCTGTACATTCCCTTCAGACTAGACAGCCCCACTGTGTGTGTTTATGCACAGTTCAGCGGGGACCGTGGAGCTTTGCTTGGTGGCCCAAGGTGAGCGCCTCAGAGCCACACAGACTCCTTGGCCCGGAGCCTCACGGCACCCCAGGCTCATCCCAAACTTGGGCCTCCCAGTTCTGTGCCCAGCCTTCTCCCTCAGGCACTGTGGGGGGCTGGGAGCTGCAAATGGGGGAGGCAGCTGTTCACTCTGAAGGGCAGCACCGAGGATGGAGGGGCCAAGCGCATCCCTGGTATGCAGAGGCCCACAGTCAGGCCCAGTCCAGATGCTCTTCACCAGTTCTTCAGTGTCCTGTCTCTTTACCTCTTGGATACTTTCCCATGCCTTTGCCTGAGGTGGTCTCCGGCACTTGAGTACATGTTCCATGGACGATGGGGCAGAGCACACACAGCACTGCTGGCCTGTGGCTTTGTGAGGCCTGAAGACCTCTGACTACAGCCTCCCCCCCTCCCGCCTCCTCCAGCTGCCCTGGGTCTGGGGCTGCAGCTCTGGCCCCACCCAGCCTTTCCCACCCCACCCTGAGTGTCCCGCACCTTCTGGAGTCCCCTGGAGACTTGCTGCTGGAGGAGGGCCCGGCCCTGGGTGACAGTGGGCCTGGGAGGATGGAGGAGCTTGGCGTCCTCCGAAGTGCAGACACCCCTTTGGCTTGGCTGCTCTGCTCGGGGCAGGGCAGGTGCCCATGGGTGAGCGCTGCTGCCAAGTCCCACCGCCTGCTGATGGGCTCTCATCCTTCCAGTGCTCAGGCAGGCGCTGCGACAGAAGCACCAGGAAGCCCAGCAGGCCTGCCGGCCCCACAACCTGCCTGTGCTCCAGGTGGCTCAGCAGCGAGAACTAGAGGTACTGGGGGCACAGGCAGGGTGGCCAGCCCGGCTCTACTTGGTACCACCTGGCTCTGCTGACTGGGCTGAGCTAAGGGGTGCAGGGGGGCACAGGCAGGGTGGCCAGCCCGGCTCTACTTGGTACCACCTGGCTCTGCTGACTGGGCTGAGCTAAGGGGTGCAGGGGGGCACAGGCAGGGTGGCCAGCCCGGCTCTACTTGGGTACCACCTGGCTCTGCTGACTGGGCTGAGCTAAGGGGTGCAGGGGTGCTCAGGCGTGGGTGGCTACCCTGGGCCTGAATGGGCCACTGGAAGCCTAGTGAGTCCCACCAGGTGGCTCCTCCCTGTGGGTGCCAGGTGTACTGGGGCTGGGTGGAGGGTGAAGGCTCACCAGTGCTCCCCTGCATAGCAGCTCCTTGTGGGTTGGGGCCTAGAGCAGGTGGTACAAGGGGTACAAGGGCAATGGTGTACAAGGGCAATGGTACAAGGGGTACAAGGGCAATGGTGGGGTGATAGAGCCAGCCAGGAAGGGGCCCATCCTTCTCCCAGGGAGCACAGGGACAGCTGGAGACTGACATTTAACCAAGAAGCCACAGGGCAGTGGGTGCCTGCAGAGATGCGTGTGCAGTCCCAAGGCAGCCCCAGGTCGGGGCATTCGTGGAAGACCCTTGGAGCCCCACTTCAGGGTCTCCAGGAGAGGCCTGGGTGTGGTGAGGACGCATCGGTGGTGTCAGAGCTAGTGCTACTGGGGACAGCAGCAGACATTTGTGTTTGAGCTGCCCTCACCCTCCCTCACCCACGGCAGGCGGTGGAGCACCGGATCCATGAGGAGCAGCGGGCAATGGACCGGAAGATCGTCCTAGAGCTGGACCGGAAGGTGGCTGACCAGCAGAGCACACTGGAGAAGGCGGGGGTGGCTGGCTTCTACGTGACCACCAACCCACAGGTCAGTGCCTGGGCCTGCTCTGCCCTGGCCCGAGTACCCCTGAGCCCTGAAGACCCCATTCCATCTGGGGTTTCACCGCTGGTCCCTGGGAATCCAGGCTCAGGATATAGGGGGTGAAGTGGAAGGACTGAGGCTCTGGAAAGGGTTTCCATGCTGTTCTCAGCACAGAGGCCGGGCCCACTCCCTACAGGAGGGTGAGCCAGCCAGCCAGCCATGGGGCACTGCCCACTCTCCCTAGGCCCGCAGGGCCCTCTTGCTCTCCTCCCACATGCCATTCTGAGCGGCCCTGCTGGGGGCAGAGACTCAGATTCCACCCCTTCCTGGCAGGCCATGACCGGCTTCACAGGGTGGTCGCCCCATGGGCTCACTGCCTGGCACCTCTAGGCTGGGATGAACGGGGCCTGGGTCGCTCTGATGCTCATGGGGCCCCTCTGTATCCCAGGAGCTGATGCTGCAGATGAACCTGCTGGAGCTCATCCGGAAGCTGCAGCAGAGGGGCTGCCAGGCAGGAAAGGCATCCCTGGGACTGGGAGGTCGCTGGCCGCCGCCTGCTGCCCAGTATGACCAGGAAGGCAGCCCTGTCCCACCATAGCCACAGGCAGCAGGAGTCTGGGCAGAGTTCATCTTCTTGACCTTTGGCCACTACCTTTGCAGCTGCCTGCAGGGGTCCCCCTGCTGAGGAGAGGCCAGGTGGACCCTGGCTGCCTGTCCCCCGCCTTCATCTGGGACTTTCTGCCAAATGCTAGGATGGTCTCATAAAGGGGAGGCGGGCTTAGCTTGCCGCTGTCTGCCTCAGGGCCAGGCAGAGTGGGCATGGGGGTTCTCACACCTTTTCACTCTGCTGGGCATACTGCGACCTGCACTGGGGCCCACCTGAGTGCTTGTTCTGGTCTCAGCCTCTCCCTTGGCAGCTGCAGCCCCCATGCAGAAGAGGCTCTGAGGCCCAAGCTCTGTGTGACCCAGAGAAATAAAGATACCTCAGTGTGGCCTGCATGTGGCTTGTGTGACAGCTGTGGGTTCTGCCATACTGGGGCCCTGGTAGGGCCCCCACCTCTGCTGCAGCAGAGAGCTGCCTCGGGGTTCCTTCCTGGGCTGTGTGCCCAGCCCACCACCCCTCCCCTTGCATGGAGACTGGGAGCCTCCAGGGCTTTCCTGCCCCAGCCCTGGTCCCAGGATGCTGTCACTGCCATCTACATGGGGCCCCCATCCAAGCCCTAGGGCCTGAGGACCACATCCAGCCTGCTTTGTGGGGCTGGGGGCTGGAGAGTGTGGGAGAAGGCAGGGGGCTGAGGGTGTAGCTGCTGCAGCCTGGTCAGTGTCCTGTGGGAACCATTAGGAGGCAGCTGATGCAGGTCATGGTTGTGGGGGGTGTGGAGGACTCAGGATGCCAGGGAATGGCCTGAGAAGGAGCCCCAGGGGGAGGGGTGTCAGGCCCACCTGGGGAGCTTGGCCTCTGCATCTGCATGAGTCCCCTCCATGCTGCCCTGAGCCCAGGGGCCCTGCTGGGTCCTGAGTTGTGGAGTCAGGGTTGGGGGTGGCCAGGTCTGCACAGGGCCTAGCCTCCAGGAACAGATGACACTGGAGGCCAGAGTCTGGGCTGAGACTTCTGGGACCCTGTCTGAGCCCCTCCCTCTTGCTGTCCAGAGCTGACCCTGTGTGGGAGCAAGGGCTCTCAGCTGTAGGAACAGTGCTTTATTGACCAGACAGGCCTCCCCAGCCCGGCCACTGCTCCCCGAGGGGGCTCGAGCTCTGTGGGCTGCCCCTGGCAGAAGGCAGACAATCCTCTAGGTCCAAGGATATGCGGGTCACAGAGGTAGGGGCTTGGGCCCACACATCCGAGGATTCCCCACAGTTCCCAGCAGCTTTCTGAGGCAGGTATCAGATTCGGCCCACACCCTGGGCGGGGCTGGGAGGCACCTGGCCCACATCCAGCAGCTCTGAAGGGTGGGGTGAAAAAAGGTGAATCTGTGTGAGGATGGGGTTGGCTACAGCTGTGGTGATGGCCTGGAGGGGTGAGGGTCCCTGGAGGCCACAACTGGGGTGCCTGGAGGCCAAGGGTGGGTTCTCGAGTGCTAGGCAGGGCGATGGAAGAAGCTGCCAGTTTGGAGCCGCCGCAAGAGCTCCAGCCACAGCAGCTGCCGCTCCCGACGGGCGCCCTTCAGGCTGCTGTTCTCCAGGGCGAGGCGGGACAGGTAGGGCAGCACGTCCATCACTGGGCCGTAGGGCACGTACCTGTACACGGGGTAGCCGGCCTGGCCTGCATGGGGGAAGAGATGCACCATGAGGACCAGGCCCAGCACCCCAACCCCACCACACCAGGGAGGGCCCCACTCACCCAGCGGGAGACTGATCTGGTCACACATGCCTAGCAGCTGGCCAAAATACACCTGGTGGCCAGCGGGATGCAGGCACAGCTCCTCCATCCTGTGCAGGTGAAGCCAGGAGCTGAAGGCCAGTTCCAGGACACTGCCCCCGGTGCAGGGGTACAGGGCCCCGTCCCAGCTCTGAGTCTGTCCTGTCACCCCAAGTCCCCCATCTATACTCCAGACTTTATTCCCTGTGAGGTGGGGCTGGGCTATGGGCTCTGCCCGGCCCTGCCCCAGTGTGGCCTCTTCCCAGCAGGACTCTGCTGGGTTGCCCTACTCTTCTCCCTGGGGAGGCTCGGCCCTTAGCCAGCAAGGCCCCCTTCCTGCCACCCCCACCCCCACCTCTCCACCTCCCTTGGAAGTGCAGCCCTTCCTGAGGCCCTGACCCACCCAGCAGCCTGCCCCACAGGGCAGGGAAGCTCCTCGGCTCTCCCACCATCCCTGCCTCAAGTCCTTCGGGGTTCTGCAGGGTGACTGGGCTCCGGCCCTGCCCTCAAACTCCTCTGCCCCATCCCCACAGCTGCTCTGTCCCACACTGCCACCAGCCCCAGAGTCCTTGGAAGGTGGCTGCTTTGAATCAAGATGCATTGCAAGTGTCAGACACTCAGGATTTAGGAGACTTTGTAGTAAAATAATGCAAAACGCCACATCGCTTTCCTAAAAGCAACTTGAATACAATTGGAAGTAATATTTTATATATTTTGGCTTAATTAAAATGTATTACTGAAATTCACTTTCCCTTTTAACATAGCTACTAAAAAATCTTAAATTACAGATGGGACACTGCTCAGATGGGGTGGGGGCCCTCAACTCTGTCCTGACACCACTCCTTACAGGGTTTTACAAAAATTCTCAGGGTTTGAAATATTCGTGCAGTGACAGTTCTCAAGTTTCATCTCCAGCTTCCTATATCCAGGTATCCCAACTTAGCTGGTCTGCCCAGCACCGGGGCCCCCACGCTGGGACGAGTTCCGCCTGCTCCTCACACATCACCCAGGTGACAGTTGGGGCCTGTGCTGTGCTTCCCACGCCCTCCCCCAACCCACGCCAGCTCAAGCTCCCAGAGTACCCATCAGCCATAGGCCCTTTCCCTCCCTCCCTGGGCTGGGTCCCAGTGTTGGGACCACCCAGCTAAAGCAGGCACCCATCTGTGCCACATTTCCCTGATCTCCAGCTTGTGCCTTCCTCAACCCCAGGACATGAACCCTAGAGCCAGGCTGCCACTGCTGGCTGCCCCCTCCCCTGCTGGTGTGCACGGCCTCTGCCATGTAACTGCGCTCCTCCCAGCGCAGGACAGCAGCTCACTCCACCTGGCATCTGGCCTTGGCCTCATGAGGCACTTTGGCCAACAGGGAGGTAGCAGAAGTGACACAAGCAGAGGCTTGCCCTATCCAGGCCTTCTGGAAGCCTGAGCCCACCACACGGTCAAGCCTGGACTGGCCTGTGGGGCACTGGACTCAGGATGCAGTCTCCTTTACTGCCCTGGCCGTGAATGAAGTCATTAGGCCTCACCGGCCCCAGCTGGTCACAGGTGCAGGAGGGACACGGGTACAGCCAGTGGCAGAAGCACCAGCTGATCCAGCCTGCCTCTGGCCCACGGAACATGCCGCTGTTCCAGCCTCTAAGTTTGGGGCTGCTTTGTTCCTTGGCCAAAGCCGACTGGGGTTGTTTGAGGGTGGGTGGTATGATGGTCTGGGCCCGGCATAGGACACAACAGCCACCGTAGTCTAGAACCACTTCCCCAGGGGAGGTGGGTTCTAGACCCAGCTACCCAGCCATCCACAGCAGGGGCACAGAGCTGAAGCCTGGTCTCAGGCTTGGTATTGGTGTCCAGTGGGGGAGCCACTGCCACAGCAAAATAGTAAGGACAGGTCCCGGGTGGAGTCGGGGGGAGGAAGCTGAAGCTGGAGAGAGAGGAAGCCCTGCTGAGGGCAGGCTGTCCTTTTAGAGTTGGATGGTGATACGGCTAGTCAGACTGTGAGTCCACCAGCACTGAGAGTCCAACCAGAGGCTGGGAGTCCTGACGGTAAGCCAAGAGGACGCACCACCAGCTCCCGAGTGCCGGGCACTGCTGGCCACCAGGCCTGTGCGTGTGGACAAAGTGAGTCTGTCCCATCACTGACACATCTATCACAATTAGTGGAAGATCGGGGCACAAAAGGGGGTGTGCTGCCATTTCAGGCCATGACAAAGCAGCATCATGAACAGCTGAATGATTTCCCAGCCATGAGTCAGATCCCCGAGCAGGGCCAGGATGTGTCCTGTTGGCTACAGCCCTGGCCCTGTGGCTTCTTGGGGAGCACCCTTGTGCCCCAAGCCCTGGATCTAGGGCACCCTGCCCTGCTGTGGAGTGGAGCTCCTGCTCAGCTCCTAGGAAGGCAAGAGCCAGTGAGGCTGCTGCCCAGGCCCCCAAGGGTTCTGGGGGTCCCATCCCTGGAAAGACAAAATCTGGGAGGGGAGGGGGACCTAGGACCCCATTGTGGGCATAACTTGGGCTTAGGCAAGAGGTAAGACCAGAGTGACGGTACTGGAGGCCGAGGTGGGTGGATCACTTGAGGTCAGATCAAGACCAGCCTGGCCAACATGGTGAAACCCCATCTCTACAAAAAATATAGAAAGTAGCTAGGTGTGGTGGCAGGCACCTGTAATCCCAGCTACTAGGGAGGCTGAGGCAGGAGATCACTTGAACCTGGGAGGCGGAGGTTGCAGTGAGCCACGATCTCGCCACTGCACTCCAGTCTGGTGACAGAGCAACACTCTGTCTCAAAAAGAAAAGGAAAAAAAGTGAAGGGAACTGCTTATAGAAAAAAAACGTGAAGGGAACTCCAGAGGCAGCGCTCTGGAGGCCTCCTGAGGGCCTGGATTCCAACACTGTATCTGTACCTTTCTGGAGCCATGCGAATCCCCTAATGAAATTTCATTTTTTAATTTGGAAGTTCAATAAGTCCGTTTCTCAAAGGCTGGGTACAGTGGCTCACACATGTAATCCCAGCACTTTGGGAGGCCAAGAAGGGAGGATCACTTGAGGCCAGGAGTTTGAGACCAGCCTGGCCAACATGGTAAAACCCTGTCTCTGCTAAAAATACAAAAAATTGGCCAGGTGTGATGGCACACACCTGTAATCCCAGCTACTTGGGAGGCTGAGGCATGAAGAATTCTTGAACTTGGGAAGCGGAGATTGCAGTGAGCCGAGACCATGCCACTGCACTCCAGCCTGTGACAGCAACATTCTGTCTCAAAAACTAATAATAATATGTTACTTTTAAAAACCAAGTAACTGCAAAGAGCCTTTGCGCTCTCACGGTGCAATGTCCAGAACAGCAGCAGGCCTGGACCTGTGGGACACTGAAGCTGCCCTCCACCAACCTACCCCACAAATGCCCAGCTGCACCCAGTAGGTAGCTCTGCCCGCCCTGAGCTCTGCACTGCGCCAATTCTCCCCAACCAGAGGAGCCAACACCTCGGGGTGGGGTGACAGTGCAGGGTCGGGCACACCTAGCTCAGGGTGGGGTGACAGTGCAGGGTGGGGCACACCTAGCTCAGGGTGGGGTGACAGTGTGAGGCGGGGCACACCTACCTGCGCAGTGTGAATCGCACTGAGTCCTCGTTGTGGGTGGCCACCATCACCTTGGCTCTGGCATTGTGCTTCACCTCCTCCAACACGTGGTCCAGGCACCTGTGGAGAGTGCCACATGAGCCCAGTTCCAGGCCTGTGGTCGCCTGTGCCTCTCGTTACCAGCTACACAGGGAGGAGGCCAAGGCCAGGCCCAGGACCATCCAGTGAGCCGGCTCTTTCCAAGGGTGCCCATAGCATCAGGAGAAATGGGAGCAGCGTCTGCCCCTCCCAGCACCTCATGAAAAAGACCAGCAACCAAGAACAGGCAAACAATGTCGGGCAGTTTGCTCAGAACGAGGTGAGGTGCAGCATCCCTGCATCTAGTGTGCCGTTGACTCTGGACCAGCCCAAACGTGCCCATGAGTCTCAAGACAGAGACAGCTTTCCTTCTGGGGAGGGGTCCTACAGTGCACCCCTGGCCCTGCAAGGAAATGAAAGGGAAGCAGGTCCTTAGGCCACAGTGGGGGTGGGCATCCCAGGCCACCAGGATGCTCGAGCAGTACAGCCCTCCTGCAGAGAGGACGCTCAGCAGGCTTGACCATGCACATGTTCTCCCTGACCCTGCAATCCCATTTCCAGGAACCTAGGACAGCTGCATCCTCCGACACAGAACCCCTGACAGCCCTGTACTACAGAGGGTGACAGTATGTCCAGTGAGTCCCCATGACAACCACCAGACTGAAAACCAGTAAGATCAAAGACACTGGACACACAGCCCTGGGCACCCCATGCTGGCTGTTAACAGCGGCGCTCTGCAAGCCCACACAAAGGAACCCAGAGGGAATGTGAAATGAAAAACGCATTGGGCAGAGGACACACTGTACAGTGCAAACATCAGTGCTGCAGACGTGTGCACTGTGGACAACATGCCGACCAGGAGACACTTGGCGTCTCTGCATGTGCAATATGCACACTCACCTCTAAGGAAAAGCCCATGGTCGGTCGGCCTGTGCTACATGAAAAGATCACCAAGAGAACTAGAGTAAAAGGAGCTGCAGAGCAGCTGATGGGTGGTCCCACTGCGGGAACAGAAGAGCAAACAGGCTGAGCCTGTGGGGCGGGGGAGGCCGGGCGCTCCTGCACATCTCTGGATCTAAGTGTCTGCAGGAGCCGGCTCGGAACCCTGGCCAATTTTGCTTTGTTCAATTGGCATTTTTATATTTATAAAAGAATAACCTTAATGTTTTTGAAAAAGCAATACATAACACAAAAGCAGAGGAAATATCAGTTCTGACCTCAGGACACATGCGGCTGCCACTCCTGCTGGGGGCTTCTGGCTCCAGCAGGGTGGGACAATGCCAGCCCCAGCAGCCTCTCCAAGCCCCTCCCTCAGTCCCGGTTTCTTGGCACCCTGCCCTGGGAAGACGGAGGTGCGGGAGAGCTGCGCACCTGTGGTACATGGTGTTGGTGGCCTCGTACGTGGGGTTGATGGGGTCCTGATAGCCAATCTCTGCCGAACGGGCTCGCTCCTGGGCCATGTATGCACCCCACACCAGCTTGGACCCAAAACACCAGCCCTCACGGCGAGCCAGCTCCACATCCAGGGTCACATTGTCATAGGCATCCTGTGGGGCCAGGGCCAAAAGTCACAGGGAGCCTGGGCAAGCCCAAGTGACAGCAGGATGGGGCCTTCCTGGGCCCATGTGCCCCCAGGTACAGTCACCAGAGCTGGGCAGCAGCTGCCTGGGGAGGTGCCGCTCCGGGCGCCTGGAGCAGGTGTGGTTGAGGATGTGTCCCCAACCTCTGTCCCCAAGGGGAAATGGCAGTGGGGACATCTGCAGCCTCCTGTGTGGCCAGTGGACAGCCCTGTGGGGGCAGCCCAGGCAGCAGCAGCCATCATGTGCTCTAGACTGCCAGGCCAACTGTGGGAGGGGTGTGTACTTTGGGCTCCTACCTGGACCCCTCCCCATGGCATCCTGTGTTCTCTGGGCACCCGGCTCACCCTGAGAGCTATGGACCTGCTAGCGTCCCTAAGCAGCCTGGGGCTCTCAGGCTGGGCTGGGGGTCCTGCCTTGAAGCACCCCTGGGCTCCCTGAATACATGCGACATCCTGGGTGAGTCCTTCCGGCATTGGCCCAAAGCTTTCATCAGGTCCTTAGAGGGGTGCTCAACTCAAAACAAGCTTGAGGAAACGGTCACGTGAAGCCTTCCAAGTTGGGGGTGTCGGGCACATCTAGTGGATCCTCATAAAGATTACTGTCTTCCTCCTGCTCATTAAACACTCTTGGCTGGTTCTGAGAAGAGGAGGGGCTGCAGGCAGCAGGCATTGGCAGAGACCTTTCTTCTTCCTCTGAGGCAGTCACCCCGGCCTCAACCTCCTCTGTAGGCCTGGCTGTGGCCACCACCCAAGGGCCTCTTTCCTGGCCCCTGGGGTCCGCCCTGAGTGAGCTATTCTGCAGAAGACCCCAACTGCCCCTCGGGGGCACAGCCCACTCTCTCCTCCATCCCACAAGCTCCCTGGCAGGTGCTCAGCATGGAACCAGGCAAATACCATGGAGCTCAGCTGAGAGGAGCCCCTCCTGTGGCCGGCCTCCAAGCCCCCAGGCAGGCAGGCAGAGGCTGGGCGGGAGCCGAACTTGAGGTAGCACTGGTGCGTGCTGAAGATGAGTGGCCTCTCCACGTTGAACCTGCGCTGCATCTCTAGCGTCAGGCGGCTGATGGCCGGCTGGAAGTAGGTCTGCTCGGCGTCCACCATCAGCCGCACACCCACCTCTGTCGCTTTCTGAGAGGTGCAGGGGAGGGGAGGGGGAGCAGCTGTTGCTCAAGTGAGGCAGGTGCCCTCCTCTGCATGAGTCCCAGGTCCCCAGGGCCCCAGCCCTCTCCCTAAGCAGGGCAGCTCACCTTGGCCAGGACATCCATCCGCTGCAGCATCCTCGTCATCTGCAGCTCCTCCTCCTCAGTAAACCGGGACAGCAGGGGCTCCAGCTGTCCTGTCTAGGAGCACAGCATGCAGTCAGGCCACAGCAAGGGCTGGAAAGTGCCACCCCGAGGCCCAGGCTAAAACTCTCTCACTGTTCCCGGCCCATGGGAACTCTCTCACCTCCTGCCACAAAGGGCTGGGAGGGAGGGCCAGGGGGACACAGTGACGGTGTCCTGGAAACCCCAACCTAGCCAGTGCACTGCCCTACACGGGGCCTGGCGGCACCATGACAGAGCTCAATGGCCATGCCAGTGGGCCCCAGGCTCAGTCCAGGCCTGCACCCCAAAGCGTGTACTCTAACAGCCTCCCCCGTTCCCACTGAGGCCCCACCATTGTGGAAGGACCCCTGCAGCTCCCATGTGACACTGAGGAAGTGAACATGGACCACCCAATCATCAAACAGAAGGGCTCCACCCAGAGCAGGGAGAGGGCCCAGGAGGAAGAACCCCTGGCTATAGGCAGACAGGATGGCTGCGCAGCACTCGCTGACACACGGCCGGAGACCAGGACATGTTCCAGGATGAGGCCTTCAAGGAGCTGGTGCTCAGAGGCCCTGGGGACCCATCCCTCAGGGTCCCTGCAGCACCCGGCCTACCGCTCACTGCTTTGCTGGCCCCAGCAGCCTAGTCTCACTGGGCACAAACAGTGCCTCTCAATCCCTTGCTACACCATGCTAACGTCTCTGACAGCTGGCGGCCTTGGTGCACGCCACACTGTACACGCTGCACCCCCAGGCTCTGGGTCGGGAGCTCTAAGTTTGAGGCTGGGCCCATAGTGGACCGGGGCTAGATGTGTCATGGAAAGCTGCCTCTGCAGAGTGTCTTCTGAAGGTGATTCTGTTCTTTCTTCCAATCCCCACTTAGGCTGTTCTTTCAAGCAGTCTGCCAGTTCCTGGGCCCCCTCCCACAGGCAGAGAAGTCTCATTCCTCTCCCCCCAGCATACAGGTTGGCCTGGTGACATGCTTCTAACAAACAGTTAGAAGAACTTGGCAGAAAAACACCATGTGACTCCTGAGGCGAGGCAGGAAAAGGGAACCCAGATTCTGCCTGGCTCTCATGTCTCAGGGGACACTGGCCCTTAGAACCCAGCTGCCATGTTGAGAAAGCCCAAGCCATAGCCAGCACCAATGTCCACACATGTAAATGGGCGCCTCCACCAGGACCCAGGGCCATCACTCTGTGAGTACTGCTACCCAGGAGACCCCAGGGGAGGACCGCCCAGCCGAGTCCTGTCAACCCCAGAACCATGAGGGAGAAGCAGAGTGACTCTTGCCATCTCAGGCCTCTGAAGTTTGGGGTGACCTGATGCACAAGGACAGATGACTTGGGGAAGGCCCCCAGACACACTCTCCTTGGTACCTTAGGCTGCACATGGGTCTCTGTCCCACCAAGCCTTCTGTGGACATTAGTGGGTTTGTCTTCTTCCCCCTGGGCCATAGGGACTCTGTGGGGCCATAGTATGCAGTGATCTTGGTCATGTTATGTCCCAGGGTGGGCAACAAGAGACACTCGGTGCCCTGCTGAGCTGGGCCTCATGGAGGAGCGGAGGCATCACCTGTGTGTTAGGGACCACCAGGTGCTTGCAGAGCTTGGTCCTGCTGTCGATGAGGCTGCTCCAGTCCAGCAGGTCCACGGTGCTGCGGGAGGAGGCACATCAGCAGAGTGGGTGACCCCACCTGTGGGTGCTAGGGTCCAGTGGAGGATCCAGGCCCAAACCAGTCCATTCACCAACCACCACAAAACCCACCTCGGTGTGCATTTTTAAAGACAGAGAAAATGTAAATATTGTTCTCTGTTTAAAAAATTTCAAACCAGTGATGTGCAGTGGCTCAAACTTGTAATCCCAGCACTTTGGGAGGCTATGGTGGGCAGATCCCTTGAGCCCAGGAGTTTGAAACCAGCCTGGGCAACATGGCGAGACCTGGTGTCTATGAAAAATACATTCATTTAAAAAATGTAAAACCAAAACACAAACAGTCCTGCATCTAGGCAGCTATGAAAACACTGAGTACCCTCAGGCTGTTTTGAGCTTGTGAAGAGGCTGAGCAGAGACAGCCAGGCTGGAGGTGGACATAGCTCCAGGGAACCAGGGCGGACACAGTGGGCAAGGCTGGCAGTGTGTGAGGGGATGGCTCACTACTGCCCCACCCTGTCACCTCCCCACTTCAACTGGAGGTCCTGGTGACCTCGGTCCCAGCCCCTGGCTCACAGGATGGGATGTGGGGCTCTGACCCTTCCCCTGTCAGCGTGAGCTCCAGGGAGGGCTGAGAGTGACATCTATGCTCTAGACCCAGATAATTCTAGAAGGAGCCCTCTCTGGGGTCTCTGCTGGCCCTATGTCTACCCTGCCCAGCCCAGCCCCAGCCTCTGGGACTCATAAGGCTGTCAACTCCTGCTGTGTGAAAAGAAGTTCCTTCAGCACTTTCATCCCCAAGGCCCCCCCTCTCAGGCAGGGCAGCCAGGACTGGAAGACGCCGCTGGGGCTCTGCTGGAACCATGGCTGACGGTCACATCCTCTCAGCCCGGGGGCTGCTCTCACCCAGACACTCCCAGGGTCTCTGCCGTGAACCAGTCCTCAATCTCAGCCCTGGATGTGATGCCCATCTTTGCGATGCTTTCCTTGAGAAGTGAGAAGGCCTGGATCAGTCCCATTCACTCACATTTTATCCTTCCCCTGGTGCCATGTTTGGCTTTATTCATTGTTAGTGAGAACAGGATCCATTTCTGGTTTCTTTCCACTGCCTGGACAGGTCTATTCCCGCCCTGATGCGGATGCAGTGAGTTATGCTCATGCCACTGCACTCCAGCCTGGGCAATGGAGGGAGACCCTGTCTCAAAAATAAAATAAAAGTGAAATTTATTTATAAGAGAGAAATATGCCAGACACAAACAGCCACGAGTTGTATGGTTCAGTTTATATGAAGAGTTCAGAACAGACAAACTCATAGAGACAGAAGTCATAGGAAGGCAAGCCCAAGGAGTAGCTTGGGGAGTGCCTGGAGGCGGAGGGACTGCCAAGGCCCACGGAGTTTCTTTGGGGTATGGAGATACTCCGGGGATATATAGCGGTGACGTATGCTCAGCCTTGTGTGTAGACTGAAAAACCATTCAACTGTGCCCTTGAAATAGAAAAATTGCCTGGTATAATGCATGAGGTAATAAATGAATAGTATAATGAATTATATCTGAACAAAGCTGTTACTTTTTTTAAAAAAAGCAAAGGGCTCGAAGTTAAAAAGCATTTGCTTCAAGGAAGCCTGTGGCCCTGCAAAGAGGCAAAGGTGGGCAGGGGCTGCCAGGGGCAGGGCTGCAGAGAGGGTAGGGGGAGAAGCGAGGGGTTCAGGGACAGCAGAGATCACCACTCATGTCCAGACCATAGCAGGCCAGGCCGAGCACTGGGTGCCCAGGCCCACGGGAGAGCCCACCTGTGAGGGCACCTGAAAGTCACTGACTGCGTGTGACAATCAGTGAAACACTGAGTTTCACAGGAGCTCTGTAACCGCTGGGAAGCAGGTCTTGCACTCAGCTGGGGACCCCTCAGCAGGGGCTACCGCCCTGAGCCAGCTGATGGCTTTTTTTGTTTTGTTTTGTTTCTTTAAGAGACAGTGTCTCCCTCTGTTGCCCAGGCTGGATTGCGGTGGTGCGATCACAGCTCACTATAGCCTTGAACTCCTAGGCTCAAGTGATCCCCCTCTTCAGCCTCCAGACTAGCTGAGACTATAGGTCTGGACTGCATCCAGCTAATTTTTTTAAAATATTTTTTTGTAGAGACAGGATCCGGCTGTGTTACCCAGGCCAATCTCAAACTCCTGGGCTCAAGCAATCCACCCACCTTGACCTCTCAAAGTGCTGGGAGCCACTGTGCCCAGTCATGGATCATTTTGAAAGAACGATGCCCCCCACCCAGGGCCAGAGGATCCAGGTGGGAGTTGGGGACAGCAGGATCCTCAGGGAGATGGGCTGGATGGGAGGTGAGCCCCAGGGACAGAGGGGTGGGCTCTGTTCTCCAGCTCAGGAGACAGGCAGATCTGAGAGGGCCGGACTTGGGCATGTGGTGGGGACCCAGCCACTGGGCACCCCCAAGGTTGGGCTGCTCACCAGGGCCTGCCACTCCTGGTGGAAACAGACAAGAAACAGACCTTGGAGGGTAGAGAGGCCGAGGTGCTGCCCATCCGGCCCCCTGGGGACACTGTAGTTAGCCCCGCTCAGGACTTCTTCCGTTCCCGGACTTGTACTCATTTCCAGCGAGATAATTGTTTCTCCTCAGCTGTGAGCATGACATTGGCACTGTACCTCTTACCTGTACCCTGAAATATTTATTTCTCTGCCGGGACCGTGGCTCCCTGCATTCATTCTGATTTGTTGCATTTTTACTGCTTGCCCTGTAGCCACTTCTACTGATATATGTGCTCTGCAGGCAAAGGAATCCATTCACATTTGTCTAATTTGGGGCTTGTCTTTCCGTTTTCAGCCTGCACCAAGCCTGGGCTGCTGGGTGTGTAAATTCCCTCGTCGGTGGGCTATCCCCTTATCCACTCCATGCTGCCGTTCACAGACCCTACTGGAGTTCTTTTTGGCTATGTCATCCTATTCCTTTTTTTCAAAGCTAGTAAAATGTGATTGCATTTCCTGAAGTTAAGATTGTCTGCTAGATCCCAGAACACGCCACTATTTATGTGAATGCAATCACACTTCACCACTTTCTGTAACCATTTTCAATGCATGTGTGAGGAAAGGTATGTAGATGGCCCCACCCCGCCAGATTGTTCCCTTGCAAATTAGGGTATATTCTGCTGACAAGCGTGGTCTTCACAACCTTCTCATGCAGGAGCTACGATCACTGCTCCATTTTATGCAGCGGAACTGAAGCTCAGAGAGGAGGAGGGACTTGTCCAAAAGCCGACAGCAAAATTTGAAGCTGGGGTCACTGTCCTCAGAGACATTTGCCTTTTCCAAGAGTCAGATGTGTGCTAGGTCTACGGGAGCCCACTGCCCTCCCCCCACCCCCCCCCACCCTGGAGATGCAGGTGGCTGGCACCAGGTGAGCCCGGACTGGCATTGTCTTGAGGGCCTGCAGGCCAGAAATCAGGAATGTGGGAGCCCAGCCCAAGGGGCCTGAGGCCTCTGGCAATTGGAAGGAGAGATGCGATGGGGTTGAGGCTGGGTGAACACCTGCATCTTTGTGGTGGATGAAGTGCGATTCTGTGTGTGATGGAGGCAGGCTTGGGGTGCGAGACACCTTTGCTGGATGGAGCTGATGTGAGCCTTGGGAAAGCCAGACGGGGTTTGGGACTTCTTCCTTGAGAAGTGAGAAGAATAATAATAATGACCCCCACGTTATTGTCAAGATTCAGGGGTCACCCAAGTTGTTTAGCACAAGCTCCGGCTAAACACAAGCTCCCACTAAGCACACAATAACCCACAACCATGATCTCTCCGCCTGAGCAGGTATCGGGGTGGGGGACTGAGAGACTGCAGAAAGCCTGGAGACCCAGACCCTGCAGGCTTGGAGGGGGCCCTCGGGAAGACCAGATGCTGACTTGGAGAGGTCCAGGCAAGCCTTGAGTTGGGCAGATTACAGGCAGGGGTGCTCCCTGTGGGATGCCCCAGCTGGCATCAGTCTTGGGGCCCCAGATGAGGCTGCGCCTCCCAGAGCCTTCCTGTATGGCCAGGCACCAGGGACCTTGTCAGGAGGGCTGACAGGTCCCAGGCAGAATCTCAGAGGGCTGCCCCTTTCAGAGGTGGACAGAAGGTCAGAGGACATGCCACACGGGCTCCTGTGGGGTCGAGATGCTTAATGGAGCCACATGTCTGGTGACACCAGGCCAGCCGCCCAGGATGTTTCACCCCATGACCCAGCCACACCCTCTCTCCAGCCTGTCCGAGGCAGTGTGTGTGTCTGGAGAGGACCCGGTGACACCCTTGCTCAGGTGGAGCTCTCCTCAGGGACAGGTTCCCAGCCATCCCCTAAAGGTCCCCCCAGTCCGACCCAGCACTCTCCCCAAGGTGGGCAGTCCCTGATGTGCAGGGATAAGCTTGTCTACTGTCCCCAGGGCCTGGCCTGGCCTCGTGTGCCCTGCCGGTTGCCAGCAGGGCTTATAACCTCAGCACTGGCCGTGCCTCCTGGGCACCCACTCAAGGGCTTGGGGGCTTCCCAGAGGAGGTGACAGCTGAGCTGAGATGAGGAGGACCCAGGCTGGTGAGGCAGAGCCAGGATCTCAGGGAGACCTTGGCCCGAGATGGTGAAACCAGCACCCCAGACTCGCCCCCAAGCCTGCCCCACTCTAATCAGGACAGGGTCAGGGTGGGGGCTGGCAGCGTCCACTGCTCACTTCTTTGCCATGGACACCCCCTGCCCCCATCTTCCTCCAGCAGCATAGGAATCCCCAAGGGCCCCTGTCAGCCCCAGCTCCTGAACTAGAGGCCTCAAACTACAGGCTCTGCTGGAAGTCTGGTCTTGTGGGGATATTGCGGGCTCCCACTGGTCCCCTTCCAGGTGTCAGAATATCAGCAACCTGTGCCTTCCAGCAGGGTCACCAAGGTGAGTTCCCTTGGGTGGAGGACAGGGACAGATGGAGCTTCGCACATCACAGCTGAATGCCCTGGCTCTCTTCCTGTCCCAGCGCCCTTCAGAGGCTCCAGGCCTCATGCAGAGGCTGTCTCCTTTGAGGGAGATCTGTGGGGATCACTCCCGTGTGAGGCCCCTAGGAAATGGGCCTCGCCATATGGTGAGCTTGAGCCCGGACACAGATCCCCGGTTGGGGGAGTTAAGCTGAGGGAAAGCAGGAACCGAGAGAGAGATTTTGCTATTCGAAATAATTAACAGACATCACTTTATGGATATGAGGATTTGGGAGGCATTGTGTCCACTTTCGGCTCCTTGTAGCTTATTGTTTCACTGTGTTCATTTTGGATCCTTGCTACAGTCGTTGTAAAATATTAACTTCAGTATTTACAATTGTTACTGGGCGTAACTTACTTACTGGGTGTAACTTATTTACTGGGTGTAACTTACTTAGTGGGCTTAACTTGCTTACCTCGTGACTTAACTCAAGTATTTTGATCTGACGTAAACAACATTAAGCAGAAAAGTATATAATGGAACCTATTGCAAAAATAAAATTGCTGCATGGTCATAGCTCATGTAGTTCTCCAGACCTCGCTCTTTTTCTTTCTCCTTTCTTTCCGCACATGCTCTCTTCCAGGTTTGGGACCCTCTCACTGGACAAGCTTCCCGGGCTTGCGTTCAGTTCACAACACTCCTTGGCTGCTGTGGGAGGTGTTTCAGCCCCAGGTCTCAGCCAGTGATCGCCCAGCAGCACAATCAGAGCCAAGCCTGCCTGGTTCCCTGGGCTGCCACTCTAAGTCCAAGGTGGCACCATTGGGCAGTAACCCCTCCCTGAGCCCCAGCCTCCAACCTCCCAGGCAGTGGCCCAAGCCATGGCTCCTGAAAAGGAAAACCTGGGAATTCCTTCAGTGTTCACCTGGGAATTCCTTCAGGCCTCATGTGGATGGGGGCAAGGACACGGAACTGAGGAATGCAAGACTTGGAGGACTCCCGTCTTATATGATAATGTTTCTGCGTGGCCCACTCTTCTGTAAAGACTCACCATCATTTTTTACACAGTAATAACGCCATGAGATGACCCCGTAGTTTATCTCATAATGTGGAACAGCCAGAGCCAGTTGGAGACGAACAGCCCCCTGAGGCTGACC